CGGCCCTCCCGAGCGTTCCGTTACCGGGCCGGCTGCTCCGGGAAAGGCTTTTTGCTTTTCCCCGGGAAAGGCTGTGCTCTCCCGCAGCGACTGCGAAAGAAGAAATCGGGGATGCGAGAGCAAACCGGAGTTGTGCCCGAGGTGCCCCTTTGCCACCGTGTCACCGGAGGGCCGCCGGTGCCTCAGTTCAGGCGGCACTGCAGTTACCGTGTTCGCAGATAGTTGGTTTTGCTGAAATAAAGCTGTGTTTTCAAATAGCCAATACGTAATTCATCAAAAGCTCCTGCATACACCGAAGTGACGTTACCAGTATGTACCAAGCGCCCAGTGACCCAAAGCTGTGGTAGCACCAGGGCCATAGCCCAGCCCCACCTCCACGTGACTCTCCAGTTCCACCTGCCTCGCAATCAAACTTTTTTTTTTTTAAATCCTTACTGTCAACATCACAGGAAAGTAAAGTGATTTTTTTGCTAGCGGTTTACTTGTCTCCACAATTTACATTGCCTGGGATGAAAGGAAAAAACATTTCTCACTCTAATCCTTTGCATGTTACTCAGAAGAATAAACCTTGCTTTACAGTTTTCTAAAACTGAAAGTCTTGATATGGGGTCCTGGGAAAAAGTTACTTGCTGAACATCGCTTTGTTTCGATAGGCGTCTGTGTGGGCATTGGCAATCTTGATTTCAGGAGATGAAATTATAACACTGTGGCCCTTGTGAGGCACTGAGAAAAGTAGAAGGTATAAACCAGAAAAATCTAGGCTGAGATTCATTACGAAATAAAATTAGACTTCGCCCTTCCTCAGCAGTTTGGGAGTTTCAGTTCAATTGTAGAGTTTCTCTTCCTTTTTCCAAGGAAAACCCTCCATTTGTGTCATTTAACCGACTTGCTTTAATGCGTTAGGAAGAGCAACTAGTTTATACTGCATTACGTGTTCAAAATTTTTCTTCCTTTACAGATAAAACCCTGTTCAGAGCTATCATTTCCTGTGAAGATCTACTTCTGTGTCACTATTTTGTCCCTGCTAAGTGTAATAGGGCTAACCATAGAGACACTCGTTCGACAAACTGAGGAAGATTTCACCATTTCTCTTATTCAGTTAGTTGGAGTTGGTAAGAAACATACTGTTTGTATTTTAAAACAAATACGCTTTTTCCCCAAGGTAGTAATGAAGCAGCAACTGAAGTTTCTTATTTCACTCCATTCGGCCTGATATATCACACATAGAATCTTCTGCTGGCTTAGCACTAACAAGCTAGGTACTTTTGCCATTGTTGCTTTTCCCAGTAGAATTTTGGGAAAAGGATCAGTAACAGATATGGCATCATCCAAAATATATCCATGTGTGAAAAAATATTCAGGTTTTAGGAAGTTTTGCTATAATTGTCTTCCTTACTGGTGTTCCATTAGGCCGATGTGGCAATGATTTTGCTTTCAGATAGCGGCTACTTTATGCAAGCTATACTGGATGTTCCGCTATGCCAGAAAGAGCTTACCATTTCCTATTTTAATGTCTCTGCCGTAATACGCTGGGGAATTCAGAGGTGTCCACACTCCAAGGCTTCTCACAGAACGTACATCTCCTGACATGAGCCATGCTTATGTTCTAGTTGGTTTCAAGGCAGCTTCTTGCATTGCAAGATAGCAAACATACACAGTTTGATCTGAAACAAGAAAATGTTAAGTCATCTCTGTGTGTTTAAGTTCCTGCAAGGATGTTGCTTCACCTGAAGTATTTTAATAAAAGAAAATAAGGACCTCATTTTTTTTAAAGCGCTCTTTTTTTTTTTGTCTAATAATTTTTGTCCTACTGGAAGCAAAATCCAAACTTCCTTGGATATTTCCAATTAGAGCTTCAATAGAAACTTATGTTCATATTCCTGGGTCCATTTGTATTAAATAGAAATGAAACTTAACATGAAAATAAATACAACTAAGTATTTTAGGAAGTCCTCTTCAGTGGCTTTAGCAGGTCTCGGCTGTTGGCTTGCTGGCCAAAGCAGTGTAGAAAAGAATAGATTCTCTGTGGGTGTAACACCTTGCGTACAAGAAGGACACGGCAATCACAAGCAGTCATTGCTTTCCAGCTTTCATGTTTTCACCCAGAGGGAACGAAGACAATAGATTTGTTCCAGATTCTATAATTAGACACATGCAAACAATACTTTTATTCCAAAACTCTGGTTTGATTAGCAGATTTTCACACAGGACTCTGCATACCAACAAAAATTGCAATGTTAGAACAGACCATTGGTGCCTCCAATCTGTCACACTGTTTTTGTTAGCAACCACGGTTTTGTGCTTCAGAGAAAAATGAAGAACCTTCATAATAAACCAAGTGAATCACATGATGTTATAAATGGGGAAGTTGAAAGCATGCTTGCTAATCTATTTTCCCCCTCCTACCTTCTGTTGGTACTAATTAGTATTCCATGCGGCAACACACACACACAAAGAAGTGCATGTCTCTCACAAACCTCTGTTTTAAATCAGGAAAAATAGTGTATTTTTAACACAATACTACAGATTTCAAAGTTCTAATGTAAAGAAAAGTAGTTTCAACATATTGGCCAATAAAGATAACATCACTCAAGGAACATGTTAAACTATGATTGGCTTACCTAGAGAGTTTAAGATGTGTAAGCTAACCTCCATAAAGATGCCAAAACTGTGTTTTCTATAGGGTAGATGAGGACTGACAGAACTGATAATAGTTCTTTAAAGAAAAATAGATGCCCTGGCTGCAACAATCTCTTGGATTTACCACTAGAGATACTTACTTTAAAGAAGGTTTGGGATTTAATTTGTTGAAAAATATTCACTTAAAAAAACCCAAGGGGATGTCCTTTATTTCGGAAATGTGCATATGCCATGTCTGCAAAAATTTTAATACTCAGAAGTTTGTTTTCAAATTATTTGTACAGACTTCTGATTTAGCAGCTGAATTTGCCAAACAAGGAAATACTGTTTTAAATCTTTCAGGTCTTCCTGAGGTCATAAGCATGCCAAAAAATTGCATGATTCATTTTGTAATTTGCCAGTCTTTTTCAGTTTTCTCAATCGCTGTTAATAAAAGTGAAAAAGGAAGTTCATTCACTGGAAGGTTTGTTTAGAGAGACTGAAGTTATCATGTTACCCTGAAATCTTCTACAACACTTTGTCCCCATGTCCCAGCCTAGCAAAACTGGATTATTTGATGTGCGGAATCCAGGAAGTAGCCCCCTGGAAAAAGAAATCTATTGTTACCTTGTCTACGGTAAGACTTAACTAGTGTTTGCAGGAGCATCCTATATAAGAACAAAGCACTAACTCCTGGTTTTATGAAAGGAAAGCCTTTTCCTTATTTAAGCTTTGTCAAAACAGTGTGGAGTTCAACAGTGACAGCTAACTGTAGTGTTGAGGGGTGAGTTTTGATGTATTTTACAAAAACAGAACTCAGAACTTTCTCGAACCAGTTCTTTTCTGGACTATAGTTTGCAGGGTGGGGTGTTTCAAAATTTCCACAACAAAAAGAAACTGTTAGGAATCCAGTCTAAGTTCCATTCAACGCCCAGGCCATTTGTACTGGTCAGAACCACACAAACGATACTGTAGAGGAATGTGTATGAGTGGTAAATTGCTTGTTAGTCACTTGGAAGTGCTCTTACTGGGAGGATTATGTCATTTCAGTTCTTCAATAAAATTGGTGTTGCTTCATTTAATTCAAATATATTATTCAACGTAATGTTCAATATAGTATTAATAGAATAACACACCACAGCTGCCAGTTAATTTGGATAGCTGTTACGCTGCCATTTGCAAAGTGTTACCTCACAAGTAATTTAAAAATCTAACAAATTATTTCATTTCTTGTATGCTAAACACAGGAGAGAGTACTCATTTTAAGTATCTGACTCAGGCTCCTTGGTAAGAATAAAGATATGCTCTTGACTGAGAAGCCTAAGTTACACGGTCTTGATACTTCGATTTTGTCATCTGGATCAAGCATATTGAAAAATTGGATCACGTGCAATCTGTGTTCACCTGGTAACTGACCTTTCCTTCTCCTACCCAGTGTTCTGTGTATACTATGTGACTAGAGGAATCCTGCAGGAGAATCGTCAGGAGCTCATTGTCTTTGTTCTTTCCATCTTGCTAGTGATGTTTCGTTCCATTGTCAACTTCACAGTTCTATCTGCTGAGCAAAAGCCGAAACTCCTGGTTAGTCTCCTGGTTTTAATTAACTTTTCTTTTCTCCACGTCTTGGATTTGCAAATTTTAGAAAGGCAAGACATCTGTGATAAGGGCACTGATAACGGAGAAGAATCAGGGTGAATTATTCCTACCATTGAATAACAAAATGTGCACCTCCACAATTGCCAGTCTGTTTCTCTGAGCTATTCTGTGGGTTTCTTTATGGCAGTATCTGAAAGTAACATAAATATCAAAGAATTTACTCACGCAGGATTACAGATTACTGCAGAAGATAACCCTTCGCTTCACCTGCACTGCTTCAGATTTCCATCCATAAAACGACTGGCCTAAAGTCATGTAAATCTAACCTACGAACAGAACTGGAATCTGAAGTCTATATGTAAGGACATAGCGATTAGCCCGACTGCTCCGTACATGCAGCCATGTGTTTTTATGAGAGTTACGGTAACCTGCTGCAAGGAAACAAAAAGATAAAATGTGCTAGGGGAAGTGCTGCCATTCCAGATTGTCTTGTTTGCCTTTCGTAACAATAAAATTTAATACAAGGATTGTATGCTATGCATTACTAAGATTCGTAGTTAAACTTCCGCTTGCCGTGCTTCTCAGAAGTCCTCCTCTTTTGCGGTCGCACATTTATCACAAACGTGAGAAGGAGGTTCCTTGCTGTGAAGTCATCCAAAAACTATTCGTCAATAGAAGAGATGGGAACCAAGCTAGGAAGATGCAGTAAAGCAGAATTTGCCTATTCAATTTACATATCCATTGTACATTTAGTTAAACATCTACAGCAAACTGGGTTGTTAGGATCAATAAGGAACAGGCATCAAAGAGGTTACTTCAAGGTATGCATCCCAGTCATCACTTTATATATTTAACCAGAACCTCAAAGTAAAGCCTGGTGTAGATGTACTATTAAGGACTTTTTTTACTACTATAACTTGGATTACTGCAACGCCTGTTTTCTGAGCAAAATTTCTGAGCCAGAATGACGGCATACTAGTCTAAATATCCTCATATCAATGTAATTATGAAGGACATATTGCCACTTCAGCCATCTTTAAAGCAGCAGACATTTAGTGTGAATGCCAGCAAAGTTGTGGATACAGCCCAGACAAAACCGATGTCTTCTGAAATTTAGTAAGTACAGCATTCAGAATAACCCACTGTCCCCAGTGAAATCAATGGGGAACATTCTTACCAGTTGGTTTATGCCATACAGGAAGCTTAGACCTAGTCTCTGTCAAAGAAAGTTGTTTCTTCAAACTGTATGATAAAACTTCAAACAAAACCTTGCTAAAAGTCATCGTGGTATTACAGGGAGTGCAAAGGTTATGTTTCTCTTAACAGTTGCAAAGCTACTACACTGAGGAGAATGTAAACCAAAACAGCCAATGTGAGTTTATACAGTTATTACTAAGTAGTTGCAACAAATGCCAATCAAAGATCAGGCCAAAATTTTTGCTACTTAACAGCGCGGCAAAATGTCATCTTTGCTATTAAAATTCTATTAATAGGCAGCCTGGTTCTCCTTACTTCTTTATTCTTTTATTTCCAGTTAGAAGATTTAAGGTTAAAGACCGTCCCTGTTTTGGCATGGCCAGTGACGTCCTTATTTCTCTTTCCCATCAGGCCCGCTTCATTCTGATCCTCTTGGTTGGCTCCTTTGATGTCATCTGTGCCATCATCCTCATTCAGAGTCAGAGCATGATGGCCTTTCGAGTGAGTGGTGCTCTAGAAAGCCTACAGTCACAGTACTTCATGCTGAACCTCTGTTTTTCCATGTTGACCTTTGATCTTCAGGCACAGGTATAGAACTCTCTCCCACTGGGTTCCCTTTTCCCCCTCTGTTGAGAATATCTTAACTTCTTAGAGCAATCCTGCCTGTATCTTACCTTTTAGATAAGATTAGCTTAATAATGGTCATCTCTCCAGGTGTTTGCTGTAGGGAAGCTTAGTTAAAATCCATTTGTCCTGCCCAAAAGGAGAACTGAAACTCATTTTTGGGACCTTTGTCCGTAAAAACAATTGCATCCAGAAGCTCAGATGCAAATGGCCTCCTAACCTAAGAAAGGTTATGACTGCACAAAATCTCAGCTTACAGTCTCTTGCTTTTCAGCCATCCTAGCTGTCTCCTACATTTGAGAAAATGATACTGGGATGGGAGAGGGGAGCCTGACCTAGCAGGGCAGTCAGGCAGAGTTAGCAACCTGAGGTTACAGATAAGTGGAGTGAACCCAAGATCTGTTTAGAAAGAGTTTTTATTTCTGTGCACTACCCTTCATTCTTACTTTACTCCTGTATTACCCTGCATTACCCTATGCTTTATCTGGAGCTCATCTTACTGCCTTCCCCGTTCTTTGTTATTGCTAATATGGCATACAGGGAAGTATCTCTGTCCCTGTGTCCCATTTCGTTCTGTCTATCAGTTTCTGAGACAAAAATTAGCCTTTAGACCTCTGCCCAACTTACTGTTGCTGGGAGTTTGTGTCAAATATTTTTGGTAGGCTGTCTGGTCTCAAACTGGTAATTTTACCAAATCTTTGCCTCTTCTCTTTCAGCTCTGCTTGTGTGTTCTGCTGATAAGCCTGCACGAGATCACCCTTCTACATAACATCATCTCAGCAACAGGGGTTCTTTGGGCCTGCCTGAAGGTGACCATTAGCATCATCGCAGTAAGTGTTAAGCTAACAGTGACACTGGCGAGGATAGTCAACTTCTGAGACTATAAGTTCTCACCCTGAGCAATTATCACAGGCTGGGAAGACACAGCCATCCCATTCTACAAAATACTGCTAAATGGAAGGGAGCTAGAATGGATCCCAGCAGAAAACAAGAGTACCAACAAAAATGAAATCAGGTTTCTTATAAATCTGTGTCTCTCAGCTGACCATACAGGATGAAACCGTCACACTATCATTTTGAGGGACATCGCTTTATTCTCAGCCCTTGATCACCTACTTTAATGAAACCTATAGGATCACAATATCTTCAATATTTCTAGCTGTCTGACAAGGTTAGGTGAAACCGGCAACAGTCCTCCAAATTATTACGAAGATGGATATACAGACACAGTGAGACTACATAGGCCTTATATCCTTAGGAAACCACACCAAAAGGATGAGTGGTCCTTTATTGGGGCAGCTTCTTGAAAGGTGAGTGACAGTTTTCAGGTTAACGTAAGGATTTGTGAACTTGAAATGTAGTTTTTCATGTCAGTCAGACTGAACTTCATCTGAAATCTTGACAGCACTGTTCCAAGAATGATTGCAGAATCAGGGCCAAAGTATATCAGATATGTGAGTCTTTTATTACCAGGAAGGAGTTCAGGGGGTTTTGTGTTTATTGTTTTTTTTTAGGCTCCTTGACTGTTTGCTTTGGCCATTCAGAGAAGTTCCTGACAGCTTAAATAGAGCTTTCTAAGTGTTTTGATTGCTTTCCTTGCTAAAAATGGAGGTAGCACCAAGGATTGTGCTTTTAAAATACTTTAGTAACTTAGGGTAAATAGTTGCACAGAACCATCTTTCTCCTGGGCTTTGGAGTGTCGTGGCAGGGAAAAACGGAGACAGGGCTATCTGTTAGTGTGACACTTAGGAATGCAGACAGGGCTATTAAATGCTTGGTTTCCTCCTAGGAGCTCCTTATACACCTTTGTGTGAGGCTCTCAGTTAAATTGTATCAAGTGTGGGAAGCAGGGAGTAATCAGAACCATGTCTGTTTTCCTGCTAGGGTTAAAGGTGTAAACCCTTCACCTACTTTTCCCCCACCATCAGAAACAAAGTTGATCTGACCAGTTGCTGTTCACAGCTTATGCTTCTCTGTGATTTGCCTTTAGGCATTAAAAGAGGCACTGTTTCTTTTAACAAAAAGAAAGAGGTGCTTCAGTTGGATAGTCTCATGTCTTAACATACATGATATTGTGTTTCTTAATAGTTCAACTAGTAATAGTAAATGTCCTAGGGATAAGTACATAGTCTTGCCCTTTGCGCAAAGCTGTCTACATTAGAACTACTTGAAAGTTACTTTTTGCCCTGGTCTAGGTACATTACTGACTTCTCTACTGGAAGAAGTTAACACCTTCTTGTCTAACTAAGAAATAGGAAAAGTAAAATTAATGAAAAAAAAAATTAGTGCTGTATTTTAGTAAGTGGCAGCACTACAGGGCAACAGCAACTTAGAAAAGGTGGATACATTTCATGAGAATCTGGTAGCTTTGCATCCAAGGTAAAAATGATTCTGTCTCAGGCTAGAGCACGTAGAGAGTTTGACAGAAAGGTGACAATAGGAACTTCTTTTCCTTACCCTGTTCAGACAAGTTTTTCACGATCAGCTTCTTGCATATGATGCAGCAGTAGAGGAACATGTATCATTGTCTTGTTTGCTGCTCTCAGAAACTGCACCTGCTATGAGGTTATTATGTAAGAAAGCTATGGAGACATTCATAATCCACCAGAAAGTATAAGCATAATAGGGAAAACTTGGAAACGCCTCGTACACAGTCCTTTCTGCTAACCGCAGCACCTGAAAGCACAGCTAAACCTCATGCTCCCTTATTTCTGGGTTGATGCACATGCCATTTCCCAGGGGGATTATTCATTATTTTTCTTCTATTTATATACATGCTCTCCCCTTTTATTTTTCCCATCTCCATTATTTATTTTCTCTCTTTTCTCCCATTAATTACCAATTCTCTCTTTCCCCCTCTTGTTTCTCAGCCTTTGCTTTCCTTTCCCTTTTGGTCTTACGCTAAGAGGAGCACTATGCAGTACCACAGAAAACAGAGACAATAGTAGAACTGGCAGAGAACAGACAAACTCCCTTACAGGAGGGACAATTCCCTTAATGCTTTTGTAGAGGTGCATACATTGACCATTGCAGAAGGATCAGTATTGGTTTGGGGGGGGAATCTGTGGTTGGTCAGATGCATCAGATATTATCAATAGCATTGGCACAGTCACTGCTTTCATTCCCAGTGACCTCACTGGTTTTCTTTCGTTTGCTCAGACCTGCCCTTCCAGTTCAGGACTGCTGAAAGGTGCGACCTGCTGGAAAGCAGTCTGTCATTTCTTCTTTCCCAAGGTTAATTGTGAAACAGTTTTTCTGACAGTTAAATCCTCTTGCTTCTCCCACATTTTAGTGCTCAGTAATTTTACTTCTCTGTAGTAGAAACAAAGGTGGAGAAAAAAGTCACAGAGCACTTTCAGTCTGTTAGCTATGAAAACATTAATTTGTTAGAGAAAAATCTGAGCGTACCCAAAGAAAAACTCACAGCTGCTTCTCCATGTAAGCTAGCTAAGAGTTGTACTGTAAGTATTAGAAGGCAGAGC